AGCGAGAGACACACGGATCGCTCATGTCTACTGCTACTGATGCTGGCATATCGCCTCTAAGGTCCGACGATGCCCTCAGGCTGCCCCTGCTGACGCCGACCTTCTGGCATGGCCGGACCAGTGCCCCTGCCCACTCGCACAAGCAAAGCTGACTCTGCAGCGCTGCCTCAGCGTGAATGCATTTGCAGCTTTCCTGCTGCGCCGCCGGGCTCAAGATCACTGAAGGCATCAAGCATAACAACACACAAAGCAGAAGGCTCAGGGCTCAGACTTTAGAACATTGCAGCACGCTCTGCCCTAGGCTACAGCTTTGACATTCCTGCGCAGTTCCTCACCACTTCACTTTCCCTCAGCCTAGTAAGGGCGCGGTGCTCAACGAGCACTGGCAACTGGGCATGGCAGCTACACCGACCACGCCGAAGCCCTTCTTGGTGCTCAGTGACAGCACCTTGCAACACTTGTTATGGCAGGGGGCCAATGGCCAATCCTACGGAATCGTTGACATGGTTCGGGGTGCAATGCACGGCTACGTCATCTCCTGCCCGGGTACCACTCTCACAGCAGAGTACACGGGTGCGCAGCCACCCAACCCAGCGGTGTTGGAGGTACTGGCCTGGCAATTCATCCGCGTCCTTGGAGAAACGCGATCTTTCCCGGCGGAAAGCCCTGCATTGATCAATTTTCTCCGTGATCATTACTATGACGAGGTTAGCGTGCGCCTGATCCCCATCAGACAAAGCTTATTACCCCATAAGCAGAAGGCCTACGACTGGATCGCGGAGCTAAGGGATCAGTATGGCCTGGGACGGTACGAGCTCAGCGATGAGACCATCATGAGCCTCCAAGGCCCTCCTCCCCTGGTCGATCAAATATACAACCAAAATAACTGTCACTTTCGACCGACGGTGGCGGATCACGTCATTGGATTGCTGGTATCCCGCTCAATTCAAACGATGCGGCGACTGAAGCCAAAATGCGATCCATGTTCTGGTTGTGTGCTCATGGAACTGCCAGGGGGACAATGTCCACAAGGAGATGAACGCCACGTTCGACCTGTGCAGCGCGGAGACACTGTCTGAGGTGGGTGCGGTGGCTGCTCGACACACGGGCAAGGCATGGGCCCTCAGACCATTCCTGGAACCCTATGTCAGTCGCCGGCCAATGCCCCGCACTCTTTTTCAGACATACATGCACGATGACCACCCAGGTCCCAAAAGCATGTGCCGGGAATTCCTGGCTGATTTCGAGCGCTCCTTCTGCAATGACGAGATTTTGCTCGAGACCCTTCAGGTGCATGCTGGAGACAGCGGAGAACACTTGATCAAAAGCTTGAGGCAGCCTGCTCACAAGGCTGATGTCTTCAGGTACGTCTACCACTACTATCATGGTGGCCTGTACCTTGATATCAAGATGGCGCTGCGAATGCCCTTCGATCAAATTTTAGGGCTCATAGCTTCAGAATGGGACAATGTCCAAGTTCGCAAGAGCAAAGAGCTGGGGCACTGCCCAAATGGAGTGGAAGGGGTTCTGCCCAAGGAGTACATGATCATGGGCATTGGGGTCAAAAATGACCACATTTTCCAGGGCATCATCTATGGACAACCGCGCCATCCCCTCATGCTCTGCGCTATAAACCACGCTTTCAGCAGGCAAATTCTTGCCTCGGTCGCCAACCTGGACTACATGATCTTCTGCAAGGAACTTTGGAAGCTCCTCACGCACGACATGGGCCACACCCCAGTGACAGGATGGAACCAGACCCGACAGTTCGGACCGGTGTATTTGCTCCGCGAGCGACATTCAGCTCAGCTCACCAAGTCCAAAGAGCTTGAGTCCGACGGTCACTACTTTGAGACCCGCGGTCAGGTTCGGGTAGCATTCACCCGATGCTGGAGCTGGCGAAAAGGCTTCAAGGGCGACCCCAGGGCAGCTCAAAGAAATGAAAACTCTCTCATGCAGAGCGTGCCCCAAATCGTCTCGGAGGTCATTGAAGCCGGTGGCGCTGCCTCTGCAGCACCCCATTCAGCACAGGCGGGAGCAATGCTCACCAATGCAGGCGTCAGAGTTGTCGGCGAGACCGTGCTCAGCAGCCTCGAACGGGGTGATTTTGACGCGATCATGGCGGCGGTCGAGAAGGAGCCGCAGTACCACGGCATTTCGGCCGAGGCTGTCCTTCGCAACATCCCCCGAGGCCTCTGCCTTCACCCTGAAGATCCAGACTGGCTTTCCTGCCGCTACTGTGAGCGCGGCGGTCGGCGCTTGAAGTTCCCAAATGAGTTGGGAGTCACACACCACTTCATGCAATCCCGGCACGACCGATCAGTGCCCGAGCCACCAAGCCCTCCGCCTCGCAACAGCATGTGGTCGCAGCGCCCGGCAGAGCCTGCAAACCCTCCCTCAGCTGCAGCCATCGCAGCGTCAGGCCAGGCTCCACCACCACCAGAACCCACGGCGGACCGTCCGCCCCAGTGGAGACCCACAGCGTCGGTGTCTAAGGCACGCTTTGGGCTCGGCCTCCCTCCCATTCCGCCAGGTCCTACCCCACATGCGCAGGGCCACCGGCCTCCTGCAGTGAAACAAGAACAGGGGGTCAATGACCAACAGGCGGACATCAAGGATGAGAAACAGGCCACTGCTGTTCCCACGTTGGGATGGGCGGAAGACACTGTGGGCACGCCAGACACTCCGATGCTGCCGGCGAGCACACCGCAGTCACACAAGTCTGCTGGCTCTGGCCAGACAAGTGATCGGCCTTTCAATGCATTCTCAGCCCAGAATGTGACTCCGACGGCTGCCCCCACCGAGGAGACCGTCCCGCAGACCCCAGGCCCGGCTGACACCACATCATCCTCCCCTGTGGATGCCCCCTCTACGCGTGCAGAGGTCAAATACCAGGGACCGGTCACTACGACCAAGCTGGTGGAGTACAGTGTCAACCCCTCTCCAGAGCAAGAGGCAAATCAACTGCCAAAGCGAGATCAGATTATCCACATCTGCCAGTCTGACCAGATGCTGGAGTGGGTTCATGCCTTCGCGACCATTTCCATTATGAAGGAGCAGGCCATAGTGGGTGGCCTCACGGCCTCCGAGCAGGTCTACCTCTGGACCAATCGGTTTCGGGCACTGGGCAAGGTGCCATGGATCTTCGCCCCGATCAAGAAGGTCGCCACTGACAAGGATGCCAACTGGCTTGACATCACGCAAGCGCGGCTTATGGTCGGGGCCAATGGCCAATTCACACTATCCATTGGCCAAGATGATCGCTACACCGAGCTCAAGTCCACCACGACCTACTATGGCATAGTGCACGCCCTCTTTCAGAAGATGTGGGATCATCCGGACATGAGCGCACTGCTCGAAACGGATGACAACTTCGAGATCGTGGCCTCCACCTTCAAGTGCATCTATGACCAGTCCTCCAGGAAGAGTGGTGGCCAAAATCGCGCCATCTTCTACCAGCCTCGGGATGGTCAAGTTGTCCACAAGCTCCGTATCGAACACAACAAGGGCGACACGGCCACCTACCAATGGCATCGTCAACGCGAGCTACGTGAGCAGCGTGAACAGCGTGACAAGCGCTCTGGTGAAGAGACACAGTCTCACACAGACAAGCGCTACCGGGACGGCGATGCCTGGACCCGAGGAGGGTGGTGGAATCGTGGCTCGGACTCGGGGGCCAGTGGCAGCCGCTCCTGGCACCAGTGAGCTCCAACTTTGATCACCGGTGCCAATGGCAACCTATGCAGTGCCATGCGGAGGCCATGCCTGCATTTCTACTTCGTTTCTTCCGGAACGGACTGACGGCCTTTCTGCTGATTGCCGCCGCTGTCAGAGTAAAACATGCCTCGCCTTCTGCCAGTCGCAGAACTGTGCCTCTGCTAATAGTGCTGCATAATCACTATCCTCGCTCAGGTACACACAATCTGAAGCTTGATGCCTGGCAGCCTACCAACTTGCTTCGGCTGACCACTGCCAGTTAGCTGGAAGCCTGTAGGCCGCCAACACCCAAAGGTCTTCGACCTGGGCTGTTCAGCTATAGGGTCTGAGTCAGTTTCACACCATGTGAGTGCACCGCGGCAATCGCCCGCTATGTGCTGAGCCCGCTCGCACAGCGTTCAATTGAAAATAGTGATCAGTAGTGGTCGCAGTCGGAGTAGTAGTAGTAATAGTAGTAGTGGTGATTAGTAGTGGTCGCAGTCGCAGTCGCAGTCGCAGTCGCAGTAGTAGTAGTAGTAGTAGTAGTAGTAGTAGTAGTAGTAGTAGTAGTAGTAGTAGTAGTAGTAGTAGTAGTAGTAGTAGTAGTAGTAGTAGTAGTAGTAGTGATCAGTAGTGGTCGCAGTCGCAGTAGTAGTAGTAGTAGTAGTAGTAGTAGTAGTAGTAGTAGTAGTAGTAGTAGTAGTAGTAGTAGTAGTAGTAGTAGTAGTAGTGGTGATTAGTAGTGGTCGCAGTCGCAGTAGTAGTAGTAGTAGTAGTAGTAGTAGTAGTAGTGGTAGTGGTAGTGGTAGTGGTGTTTTCAGGTGGTCATAACAAGGGGTCATGTGATAATTAGCTTTGATTGTGTCGATCGGTGTAAGCGGAATTACTTCGTGCCCGCGCGAGGCGCGAGCGCGAGTGCCGCTGTGACGCGCGGCATTTTGCGCACTCGTGTGCAACTATCTACACAGTCCCACTCTGGCCCCATTCTCCAGAGTGCGGGATACATTGCAAACCCGGATAAGATGATATCATGTTGGCCTGGGGCTGATTGAACCCCGCCAGTACATACTGAGGGCTAATTAATTCGGGGATGTCCTGAAGGATGAGTGTGTGTGTGTGTGTGTGTGCTTGTATGTGTTTTGTGTTTGTGCTTCGTATGTGTTCAAAATGACATTCCAGTCCTTGAAGACCAGATAGGCTTCTCGTAAGCCCATGCTGATTTCAGTCGTGTATCAGTTTCGGAACATGGGGCGTACGAGATGCTGCAGGAGGTCCAAAACTGTTCTGCTCCGCTGCTTCCCGAGGTGTGTCCTCCTGATCCCTGTTTGGCAGCTTGTCCGACAAGGGCAGAGTTTTTTGCGAAGTGCTGACATGATGTTGCAGATGCCGTGCGGACACACAGACGTTCCCCGTTCAGGCTCCAGCTTGTTCTTCCCCATCTCGCGAAGAAGGATGGGGAAGATGATCCCAAGAAGGCTTCAGATGGTGTGCAGATCCGGTGCGGTGCTTGTCGTGAGTCAAACTGCAGAAGGCCGAGACAGAGGCAAAAAACAAGGCCCCATTGCATGCTCTTCAAGATGCGGGTAGACTCTGGTGTCCTGGGAAATGGTGGCAGGCTGGTGACGACAAGGCTGCAGCAAAGGTGGAAGGGCAACCAGGCACTGCATCAATATTATCTACGCAGGTATTCAGTGCCTTCCGATGCCGGGGAGTGCTGCCCAACTTTTGTAGAGGCGGTGGGGCAGAAGGAAACCAACCTGCAGCACCAGCCGAAGCACCCGCCGAACAGGCGAAGGGCTTTGCAACGCTGACAGAGTTCAGTTCTCAATGGAGAGCTCCCGGCTCTGGCTCAGGAAAAGCAGGGCGAGGGGAGCCAGCCTGCAGCAGGCGAAGATGACCAGCCTCCCACCCGAACATAGAGCACAGCTACGGGTGTCTGTTATTTGTCGTTTCTGTGCGTCCCAACAGATCGCAACTCGTGACGACAGAGCACCAACAGGTTTCCTGCATTGCGGACAATGCCGGTTCTGCTGCGTGACCTGATATGCAGATGGTGCCTGCATGGCTCAGGTACTGACATGCAGGAGCTTTACCGGTCGCCCGATGGAGCGAGAAAAGCCGAAACTTGCTCATTGCCGACAATGTCGAAAGACCTGAGTAGCTGCTTGCAGAATTTTGAGACGGTGCCTACTTGTAGTGTACTGTAGTGGATTCCCGTGAACCTCAGGTGGCTCGTGGGGCTCGCTTGATCCCTGCAAGCCACAGGCGATCAGTCGAGCTTTGCAGGGACCGGATTGCAAAAGCCGATCGATTTGTGCAGCTTGTTGCCATTTTGCATGCCGTACCGCTGCTGCTGGATCACTGCTGGTAATGAAGTTACGCCAATGCTTCGGTTGTTGGGTCGCTGGAGCGGCCTGTGTTGCGGCATGAAGCGGCCTTCTGGCATGGTGGTCAGAGATGCGAAGCGCCCTCGGGCACTGAACGAGTCAGGCTCAGACCCCGTTCGTGTTGCCTGCCTGGGTGATTCTAACACAGTTGGCGGAGGGCTCGGGCGACTCGTCAAAAGAAATGACTTTCTCCGTTAGCGGGGCAGGAGCTGTTGGCTTGGCATATCGCCCAGCATGCCAGTAGTGAGGAAGACCGGAGCCTATCCGGCCCAGCTGCAGCGACACCTGGATGAGCGCGCAGCTTGGAATGCATAGCCCGTTGCGATCCCCAGGCTCCAAGGGTTCGTGATGAGGCCGGAGCAGGCGAGTTTCTCGTCAAGCCCTTCGGTGTCAATGGAGCAGTTGCTGTAGACACACCAGGCAAGAAATGCTTCTTGACTTTCAGCTCCCCAAGACTGATTGACGTGCTTGTGCACAACCCACTCGGAACTTCATGCAAGCCTTCACAATCTCAGGCTATGTGAATCAGCAACGATGTAAGGATGCAGCGGGCTTTTCCCCTCACATAAGTGTGGCTGCCCGGCAACCATTCAGAGGAATGCCCTTGGAGCCGTGCCGGAAGTAGCCCTTGGCCATGGCGAGGTCATGCTTGGAACGAACGATGCCTGGCATCGCGCCGGGGAGCCACAGAAGGTCGGTGAAAGCATCATGACCTTGCTCGACAGCATCGAAAAGTTTCGGCCTTGGATATCGGAACTTGTCGACGGCTGGCGAGACAACTTGCACCTGTTGCATGCCAGATATTTGCGGGCAGTGTGACTCTGAGTTTGTTTTGGCTCCTGCTCGCTGACGGCGCGTGCCGTTCAGGTGCAAAACTCCCATGCCATCGAGCACAAAGTGTAGACCCTTTTTTCTGGTGCTGTCTCCCGGTGTGCCTCGGACCAACGTCGTGTGCAGCTTTTTGGATCTCTCTGGTCTAGGAGGCACCTTGGGCTTTCGTGACGACTTGTCAGGCCAAAGCTGGACGCCTCAGAGACAATTTGGCAAAGCACGTTCACCCAGAGCTGCGAAGGGTCGCGTGACTTGGTCCTTGAGCTTTCCCGAAGCGCGCCAGCTTAAGAAGTTAGTAAGCGGTATTTTCTGTTCTGCCACTGTGTTTTCAAGCAGCTTGGCCTACGAAGGAAAGCCAGAGCGGACACTGAGTTGGTGGATGTATGCCTGCCGCCTTCTGGCTACCGTGCAGACGCCGTACACTTGTCCAAAGACGGAGCCTTCCCATCAAGTGGTATCTGTTGACTCCCTTGCCTGCAAGGGTCTGGCACAATACCTTGACAGTGATATTGCGACGTGACTGGGCTGACCCCCAAGATTTGAGCTTTCGACTTCGCTCAAAACGGCAGAAACCATTGCATAATTAGTCACAACCTTCAGCGCTTGAAGCTTGAATCGGCTTTACATGCAAGTTACACATGTCAAGCGTGCGAATTGCTTGCCTGTTCCAGGGATGGGCTTGACAGCTGAGGAGCCAATGAAATTGCCAGCGCTGTGGCCACCTCCATCCTCGACGGCGGAGGAGCTTGATGAGTCGCTGGTCTCGACCGTGTTCGGTCCTTCTGCCATCTTCAACGTGCCAGAATTGCCAAGATCTTCATTCAACTCGCTGCTTGATGCAGGGCGCCGCGGTGCAAAGCATGTACCACGTTATTGCCAAATGGGGGTGATTGATCGTCTGCAGTCGTTTGATAGCTTGCGACTGTCGTTTCTGCGAAGCACTCGACCACAAGACTTAAACTGAGCCTTTTCATTCTAATTCTAAGCCTCGACCTGAAGGCACCCACGAAGCGCAAGAAGTGCAAGAGATGAGCTCTTCTCCAGGAGGTGTACTGACAATACTCTTATCATTGGTGCTGCATGGCCTATCACAAGCTTCGGGCTGCCCGTAAGCTGCAACGGGCAATACTTGGAGGATGCACAAGGCTCCTTTGGCACTCAATGCCTGTCCAGCTGCTTCGCATTGTTGCCGGAATCGGACGGGGCTCCGTGTCGAAAAGGCACGGCGAAGCCTCCAGAAAGAGTTCATGCCCTGCAGCAGCCAAGTCAAGTTGACGCAATGGATGCTCAGTACACACTGTGTAGGGTTTGTTGTTGGATGTTCATGATGACATATGGCACGCCACACACAGCTGAGATCTTCCCTCGGAACGCCACAGGAATCTGTTCCGCTTCCGGCATGCAGAAGGTCTCCAGCTTCGTCCGGGCTGGGCAGCCTTCAAGGTGCTACCAGAGTGCCCACCCGCATTCGCGTGCAGCCTATGTCGCAGCTCCAATGAAGGTTCCACCCGGGTGTTTCACACTTCAGACACAGACGAGACCATGCTGCATCATGCCGGGTCATGCCTTGGTTTGCAGACACGAGCTGGCTGGGTTGATTCGACGTCTGTGACAGCTTCGCATGTTTCGGTTTGCGTCGCTTGCCTCTCTTTGGCCCAAGGCTTGATGACAGGTAGATTCGAACAGAGCGCTTGACCGCGCAATCATGATCGGCTGGAGGAGTTTGCTGCTGGTGGTCTTCTTTGCATTTATCGCCTACAACCTCCAGACGCCTTTTTCAAGCTCAAACCTGGAGCCCTCGCTGGTCGGCAAGGCTGCTCAGCCCTGCCTCCCCCCCCGCCCTTCTACAGACTGAGTTTAGCTTCAATGCTAGCTAGTAGGCATACCAACAGAGTTCGGTAGAAGCTAAGGTGACATGTACAACTGTACACACGTCATGCCCCAAGTGGATCATGGAGGTGTGCCTGGTTACTTTCTTTTTTCACTTCTGGCTTTGGATGATGTCATGTGCTTGATTCTCTCATGTACGGCAGCCACTGCCGCTCTCCGGAAGCGTGTTCATGAAATTCTAGGGGGCTGTACATACCGAGGGCATGAAAACCTGAGCAGCAAGTGGAGACTATGTAGACTACAGTACCCGTTTTTGTGGCTTAAGTGACTTTCCTGCTCCTTGCATCTCCTTTCGACATGGTGTTTGCTGTGCAAGGTTGCAGTTGTGACCGGCGGAAGCCGGGGAATAGGCAAAGGCATCGCAATTGGCTTGGGCGAGACTGGGGCCACAGTGTATGTTACAGGCAGGATGCATATGCCAGGGCTTTGCGAAGCAGACGTCCAACAGCTGAACATGCAGGTCGCACTGTGTCTTCAAACTCGACGAACACTGGTGGACCTGGTGGAGCTCCACAAGCTGGAACGCTGGAGGAGACTTGTGCCGAAGTGGTGAAGGCCGCATGGTGTAGCACCTCGGATAAGCTGGACTTTCAGGTGCTTGCTGTCTGCTCCTGTGTTGAAGGCTGGTGGCAAATGCATTGCAGCCGGCGTCGACAGTGGGAACGACGAACAGCTGAGAGAGTTTATCGATCAGGCTGGCACGTCTTAGCACGCTCCTTCGACTGTTTCTGTGATCTTCTGTCGAGAAACCTGGAGTCGCGAAAGTCCAAGCCGCAAGCCGAGTCCCGGATTTCTCTGCGATTTGCAGGTCGTTCGTGATCATGGGCGCATCGACGTTCTAGTCAACAATGCCTTCAGCGCCGTATCGTGGCTGCCAAAGCACGCTGGGAAACCCTTCTGGGAAAAAGGATGGGGCTTGCTAAGCGCAGTGCGTGCCGTGGTTCGAGTTGGGGCCTCGAACAGCGCAGCTCCACCCTGAGAGGAGCTGATGCTTGGGACAAAGTCAATCACGTTGGGCTGCGCTCCCACTACCTTGCCAGTGTGTTTGCAGCACGACACATGACCCATGCCAAATCGGGGCTCATCATCAATGTAGGGTCCTTCGGCGGCCTGAGCACCTTGGTGACAGCTTGTTAAAAGATGACGGAGTTCCAGCTTCGTATTGCATGTGCCCTTGTGCCCGTGGCAACTGCCAGACTACATTTTCGACGTTGCCTACGGCATTGGAAAGGCGGCAATGGATCGCATGGCTGCAGACATGGCCATCGAGCTGGCTACCGACAATGTCACCATGATTTCGCTGTGGCCAGGGATCGTTGCAACGGAGAGACCCGGCTAGGAGACCCAGCAGAGCTTTGCACATCCATCGTTGCATGCTGGCATCGAGGCCAGCATGAGGCGGAAAGGAACAGCCCTGTCGTAAACAGGAGGCATGCGAAGGCTGGAAGGCAGTTGATGAGACGGTGGGTTCTATGGAAACCATATGCATGTGCTGTCCACCTCTGAGCGACGAGCAGGTTTGCAGTAGTCCGCAACAAGAAACCCATGCCATGTTCTATGTGCGGCCATGCTTGCCCACGGCATGATAGGAGGGCGACTGCAACATGGAACTGATGTTTTGGCTCTGGTCCAACAGCTCTAAGGTCAAGTGCTGATAATTAGGCAATGCATGATGCCCTCCTAGCTTGCAAGTGGCCTGAATCGTTTGCGCAGATGAGCCAACTCATAATATCATAAGCAAGGAAGGGTCGTGCACTCCGAGGGTAACGGAACAGGCTAGCATCATCTGGTTGGAGCCAAGCAGGCCGTTGGTGCAGATGGACATAATTCGCATAAAGTTTGAGTCCATGCTCGGTCCTCAACCGAGGCATGTACCGATGTAACCCCTGACTTGCTAATTCGTACTTTCTCGGGTTGCTTGTGGAATGTAGAAACGTAAGACATCAAGACCTGTACAAACGTTAGTGGA